GCTATCAGGCAAGCCACTGCATTCGCAATGCATTTCTTGTATCGCGATGTCTGCACAACTGGGTGGCAGTGCGGTCACGGCAATCGACGACAATTCCAGTGCTCGTGGAATTTAAGTCCAACCACGGTCCTCCCGATAGCGCACTTGCGGGGAGCTTTATCGAATGTGCACCGTCCGCCGTGTGGGTGCGAAAGATACCACCGTGTTTTTTCGCGAGCGCAAACGACCGTGAACCAAACATTGGGCACTGTTCATGATTCATGAAGCTCTTTTTCATTTCCTGGGACACTTTGGAGGTAAATGCCCTTCCCATCTTGCTCAGACAACTCTCACGTCATTTTGGAACCGGCCTATTCCGAGACGTTATTTGGCCCGTACGTCGAATCTCCACGTGCGTTTGAACACCAACTGCCTTTAACAATGACATGTAAACAAATTGTTAGATGATTGTTGACGTAAGGAAAAAAAATTTCAAACGAGATGACTGCCCTTGGACTATATAGCTTCAACATCTAAGGTATACATCGGTATTTGCCTTTTGAAGGGTAACTTATTTTTGATATTTTTGTTAAGTGCGTCTTGACGTCTCAAAGTTAAAATGCCATTAAATGCAAAAAGATGCTATTAAAATTTTGATTTGTGGAAAGGCAGTGGAATGCTGCGGCAGTGTAATGGGCATCGCACTGAAGTCGCATAGCCAGAGGTCGCCCGTTATTTGAATCGTTTCTTCCATTCTTAAAATCTCCCCACCTTTTTCTACCCAGACATATAAATGGGCACATCACAGTAAGCCTATCGGCAGGTCGCGTGCGGTGAGGTGAAGTGTGGGTACCTATTCCAAGACTTCTGGCCAGCGGTGGAAGTGTAAGCCTAAACATGTTCGAGTGAGGGCCCTCTCGTGAAGAGCCTGCTTGCCAGCAGTAACGTGAACAAGCACTTTCGAGACTGCACCTTTAACTTTCCACTCGGCCACTGCACCGCTTTCTGGGAGCGTTTGCGTGGCCTATGGACGTTCAAGTCGTGCTGTGTGGACGATGAGCTCCTCGTGTGAAGGTAATCTCATTCACAAGCTCACACCAATATCAGTTTGCGATTTTTAAGGTGCCTTTTGGAAGATACGAACCCGTGCACAGCATATGCCACGAGATAAACGTGTCCTTGTCGACGAGGATTGCGAGTCAACAATTTCTGACATCAGCCGCGCTTTGTATGACATCGCAACGACCACCAGAGTGTTGTTGTAACACCCTCCATTGTAACTGCACAAGCATTGCTGGAGGACTAATTGCGAGATATTCCTGCGGTGATCTATCATCAGTCTCACATTGCAAATACTGCATTGGACAGTATAGACACAGCGAATGCAATGTATTATTATTACTACGACTACGACTAAACTCTCTCTTAAAACTATTTTTTTTTATTTTTGCCAGGTAAGACCCACTGAGCTATATAGCTATTTTGCAGAAGCGACCTGGATACAAATGATAACCCGATGAAATGATAACTAAATGTAAGCCTAAGTGTTAAACCAATACAAATTGCTTGCCATGTGGAAATGTATAGCAGGCAAATACTATGGACGCATGCTGATTCTAAATGTGGAGGGAAAAACTGAAGGAAAAGGAGAAAATTGTAAATAATAAGTAAATAGTCGGTACCTCAGATTTCCCACACCTCCAATTAGCACGGTTGGTTACGTACGGTGCGAAAGAAGTTCAACATACACACAACGAGCCTAATCCATCACGCAAACTCCGGTCAGCATCGCAGCGGATTTTGGCTTGCTATCGAACAAAGACGGTCACCGCACCGCGCGCTTTCAGACGCGCTGCTGCGGCCGTCTGGAACGCTCTTGCTTCTGATCCACTGAAACTAAGAACTTTTAAATTATCTACATTAAAATTTTATTTATTTAGAACTGCGTGTTGTGTTTAGCTCGTTGTCCTTCCCCCGGACTCCCGATGAGCACGGTTGGCTACGTACGATGCGAAGTAAGTTCAACATACATGCGTGCATATATTGCATCGGGATCCGTTCCCCAGCTCGTGGATAAACACCCTGCCTTTGCGAGCACACGGTGCCAAGTTAGGTTGTCCACTGCTCGCCATTCATCTTTGGAAATCGCAGAGATTCACATCTACCGGTAAGCAAACCAATGGCATAGAACAAGCTGAGACGCGTGAGTGAGATGGTTCGTGCAAGCGCTGACTGGCCCAAGCTATCGCCACACTAGCCGGCCCGATAACACAGCACCACAGGATATATATACAGTATGTTGAACTTATTTAGCACCGTATGTTTTCATCCGTGCTAGTCTGAGGTGCGGTGGTATTGACAACAAACTAAACACAAAAAAGCACATTAAAAATAAAATTAGTTTTCAATCTGGACGATTTAAAAGTGCACAGCTCCAGCGGTGTCCTAATGTCGGAACGGAGGAGCGTTCCAGACGGCACACGGGAGCAGCGCATCTGAAAGCGCGCGCGCGCGCGATGCAGTGGCCCGGCTTTGTTGGACGATTAAGACACGTGAGTGCAGATGCCCGCGAGTGCCGCAGCCACCCCATGTGCCCCACGCACCTCCAATTAGCACGGTTGACTTCGCGCGATGAGCAATGAGTTGCGGCGCCCCTCCTCGTCACTGCCGCGGGCGTTGTTCCTCTTGGCCAGTACGCCGCACCAGACTTCGCTGTGCCCTGGCCCGCGAGGCTCAAGGGTAAGCAGTCAGGGGCCATCCGTTTAGTGCGCACGCAAAGTAGTAAGGGGCCATCCGTTTAGTGCGCACGCAAAAAAATCTGTCGAAACTTGACCCCTCCCCTCCTCCCCTGTTGGCACGCGGACTTATTACACCCCCCCCACCACCTGCGTACGTACGCCTGACGCAACCCCCCCCCACCCCCCTATCCTATAGAACGGCCAATATTTCATCCACGCAGAAACGATCAAGGATTAATAATATTAACGTGTTTAAGCAAACAGATAGTCCACCGCCGGACTAACTCATTTTAAGGCAAATTATTTTCGAGGCTTCACCCGCCCCCCACGTTTCCTATGCGTACGTACAATGTCAGTAGACCCCACATACGCAAGCTACGCATTTGGGTTACCCCCCCCCCCTCCATGCGTACGTACTAAATGTATGGCCCCTAAGTTGGTTCCCCGTGCCCAAGTTACGATGTGGTGTTGGTGGTGGTGGCTAGCGGGTGAGAAACGACAGCAGCATTCACAACCTCCTTTTTGTCGAGCTGCGGCCGCCTCTCAAATGTAAAAACATAAACGTTTGCATCAAATCAACGCGCCACACTACAATTATTGTTTGTGTTTGTGTTTAGACGAGGGGGGTTGGAAACCTGCTGCTCCCAAGACGCACATGCGCGGCTCTTCACTGACTGCTTCGTGACTTAATGCATTTATTTACATGCACCGCGGCTCTTAAAAATATTGAGTTTGTACCGAATTCGAAACAAACATTGCCCTTTCTCGTTGAGCGTTACCGACCATTGACTTAGACCAAGTGCAAGATGCTCGAAGATGTTTTCATCAGTGGTCGTGTGCAGTATGCATGCAACTAGTCAATCGCTGCTGTGTAATTTAACGATTTTTTTTTCCATTATCTAGGGGTCATGTTTCAGTTGAATCAATTATTTTGAATAACACCGAACCTACAATGCAACGCTGAATCTCATTATGCGTCCTGTAATAAGCAGTTGAGTGGGCTTCAATCACTTTCTGCTACGGTGGCTGTACAGTGAGGTTTTCGAAGCTGTTAAAGGATAAGCTTGCCCGGCTCCCGTTGATTTGTGTGAAAGAGTGCAGTCGAAGTCGTGACAGCACGCGTCTCGAAGAGATGGAGCGTGTGTAGGGAAAACATTATCCCCGTAACACTCATGCCTCGTCCATGTATGTACGATGTTGAACTCCTTTCGCACCGTACGTTGTCAACCGTGCTAAGCGGAGGTGCGGGGGAAAGACAGCAAACTAAACACAAAAAGCAGTTCTAAAGAAATTAGTTTTTTTTTAAATCTAGACTTAAAAGTGCATAGCTCCAGTGACTTCCCAATATCGGAAGAGCGTTCCAGACGGCCGCAGAAGCAGCATCTGAAAGCGCGCGATGCAGTGACCCGTCTTTGATCGATGGTTAAAACGTGAGTACAGCTGCCTGCAAGCGCTGCAGTCACCCATGCCCCCGCATCTCCAATAAGCACGGTTGACTTTGTACGAGGCGAAATAAGTTCAACAAACATATGATGCGAGTCCCGATGTCACTACACATAGGCATATATATCCACACCCCTGTGAACGCATTCTCCTTTGCCTCCCGCAATGAAGAAGTCCACAACCTCCTTCCGCCATCCGCAAATAACTCATCAGCAACACTTTATTAACTCCCTTCCGTCATTTCTACTCCAGTTCCTTCCACTACTCTAAAACAAATACTCAAGTGTCTAAAAAAATCGAATGTTGTCCTCGAAGAGCTGCCAATGAATAAACAGTTAATGTTCTACAATTTCTTGCTGGTCATTTTTTTATTATCTTAAAATGTCGGTCACGCATTACATTGCTACGATTTAATGAAGGTATTTTTTACGTAAGTGTTGCCATTTAATGTACATCCTCATGAAATGTGTTTTGAGGTGTATTTATACTGTAGTTGCATTAGCCAAACAGGTTTTAAGCAGAAATTCAAAACTTTATGCACATGAAATCTGTTGAACATCACACACGCTCTATTCGGGAGTGGTGATCTTATTGTTATCAATTAAAAACGCATTTCTTTAGTACTGCGTTTAGTTTAGTTTGTTCTTCCCCTGCACCTCCGATGAGTACGCTGCCCAAGAAGTTCAACATGCATACATACAATCGTTCCATTACATCAAAGAAAGCGTTTGGAAATGCATTTAAGTGCGCGTTCACACTGATATTATGTAAAATGTACGCGTGCTATTCCATGTGCTGCGTAAGGAACAAAATAACAAGGTGCTTCCTGAAACACGAAAGGTTTGTCTCCTATTTTTTATTTCCATTTAACAAATTAAACTTACAAAAAATTAGTGAGCTACAGTTAATGCTCAACAAACACATTTATTTCTAAGTTGTGTGATCACTGGCTTATATAGCCCCTCGGTCAAGGCGCTGTATATATTAAAATAAGACGCGTATAATTTAGCGTAGGCCAATGCAATCTTATACAGAGCAACAGAGTCACACACGTATCGCATTATTTCAACAAAATAAACGTAAGAACACTCTCGTTAGGCTAAAGATTAAATTTTATTTACGAACAATATAGCTTTAAAACGATCCACTATGTCTTTATAATCTTAGTGCATTTGTCTCGCTACAGTGAAGTCTGGAACATTCTCGTCTCTCCTGCTTCTTTGGTGAACCTCCATTCACTTTCCTCGTCGAACAAAAACAACAAATGTAAAATAACTTGTTTTAAAATAATTTATCGTATTAGAAGCAGCAACAAGTGACACTACTACATGTACATACAGAATGTACAGCAATACTAGTGGCAGACTAACACAATGATAGCGTAGAGGAAAACAAACTTTAGTCATTCGCCAACATTTTCGTGTACATTCTGTTGCTCGAACACCTTTACAAAAATATTTATTTTCTCCAAAAAACATTTTAAGACAAAACAGCCTCGCCTAAATGTAGGCAAAAAATGGCAAATTTTGAACAAAATATATACACTTAGCTCTCACGTTTCTCGGGCCAAGCCAAATTAACGTTCCATTTGTTGGAGTGCCAGACCCTGTCTGAAAATGTTATGCCGTTTGGTAAAGTTTGCATCTGTTGTAATGGGGTTTTTTTTTTGCATATGAAAATTACACAAAACAAATTCTAAATCGTTTGCAGAATTATACACGAGGCAAAAGCAAATTGCTTGTAATCATGTAATTGAATTGGTGTACACTGTTGTTTTAAGAGCCTTACAACAGCACAATAGCTACTGACAGCCAAATGACTTTATTACGACTCACCCCAGGCCTATGTTGGCCAACATATAGCTAGCTATGCCACTATCATCATTCATCACAGGCTTATATTGGCCATTTATACATATTTTGAGTGTTTTGTATGTGTGAATGCATTGCCAAATCGTTACGTTAGTAACGTGCAAACAATGTGGCATTTTTTTTTACACAGTACAGGCTATATACTTATTTTAGTCATATTAACAATGTTATGATTGCTCTCTATTCATACCATTACTATACTGTGAATTTATTGTTTATATAAAGTTATATTAACAGGTATCCTAATTTTTTCTTCATGAGGATTGATGAAAACTTATGTGATTGTTCAGAAATGGACAATATTTAACACCGTTATGATTATATTTTTAACGTAAATTGTGACGGAAAAACTTAACTTGTTAAAGCTCAGACCTGCGCACAAAACCTAATTCTGTTAAACATGATCAAGAGTGGATAATATTACCCAAACATTGAAACCTAATGTGGAAAGGCCCTATACAGAAAGCAACAATCCAAGCGTCTAAGGTAGTGCAAGTTATAAAGCACGGAAAACCACGCAAAACACTATCGTGATTATCATTAAAGCGAAGTACTGATCCTATGTTAGTATGTACCTTTATTATATACTTAAATAGTTTAACAATAACATTGCTTTTATAACGTTTAGACCACACAGTTGAAGCTACATGGGTTTTTGTGACTAAAGTCGCATTGCTGGACCCCCCCCGTAGCATCCACAGACCGTAAACCAACACTGCCAATATTACAAAGCTCCATGAATTGACCGCTGTTAATTTGAGATGCGCTTTCAACTTGAACAGAACCAAATTATATACCACAACCTTTTTTTTAATCCAAGCGATTCAAACAACTTTAATTTGTAATGACTCTTTCTTTACACATGCAACTTGACAATTTGTCCTGGTCTGGGAATATCTATATTTGCACCACCGTGACAAAAAATATAGCAAACTGTACTATTCACGTCAACACTGCCCATGAAGTTTTGTAAGCATTAAGGTCCATATGCAGAAACAACTTTGTACATAGTTGATTTTGTTAACCAGTGTTCAGCAACTCTCACTGCACCACATTTAAAGGTTAATGCACTGCATTCTGGAACGCAATACTTGGTGACAGACAACGTAGATGAAAGTGTGTGTGTGTGATCTTCCATAATTAAAATGTACTTCAGTATTAAATAGATGTTCATAAATGTGTTTAGTCATGTATATTTTTCGTTCGTGTGTTACACATTTTTTTCATTTTAATTCACCTTCAGAGTCCACATTTTAGGCACATTGTAGGTCTGACTCCATCCACATTTCTCTTACAATAATCATTTAAAACTTGCTAATACCCACTGTAACCACCTTCATTTCAAAACACTCACTTTAAGTAATGCCCATATGAGCATTCTTTCCAAAACGTGATTTCTAAAACATAACCATGGTAATGCAGGTCGATGCAGCTTTGCAGGCATTTTTCTAATTGTCTCACAAAAACAAGTAACCTTGTGGATTTGGGTAGAAAACAATGGACTTTGTAAACAAAATTGTTCATTGAGCCTCCAGAAAGTCAAGTTTTACTTTCATCAGACAGAATTAGACTTTGTTTATACTGGAGGAATCTGATGAGCTATGAAGCTGTTTTTCACAGATGTCCAGTAGGGGTGGGTAAGAACGTTCATAGCAGCTATGAAGACAGTGGGGAACTTAAAAATAAAGAATCCATGGAAAACACAAACTGCGGAGGCTCGCACTGGGAAAGAGGTTACTCATCTCCGAGCCTCACTCAATATCGTCCTCGGAGGCCGGGCTGCTCGGAGTGCCAATGCTGGATAGGCTTTGCTGCTGCTGTTGCTGCTGCTGCTGCTGCATGTTGTGCAGAGCTGCAGCGGCGAGCGCAGGTGGCAGACCCGAGTAGAGCAGCGGGAACGGCATCTTGTCCAGGAGTGGCGCAAAGCCGTGCGTGGCCTTGCCTTCCACCACGGGCCCGTACGCGGCTGCAGCCGCGGCCGCCGCCGCGGCCGCCGCCGCGGCCGCCGCCGGGTGCACCAGGTAGAAGGGCACGATAAAGGGCTGGCTCGGCCCGTTCGTAGCCAGTTCCGACGCACAACCTGCTCCCCGCTCGCCGCCCAGCGGTGCCGTTGCGTCCGCCCGACGACACTGGGGCTCCACCTTGAGGCACCGCTTCTTGGATCGGCGGTCGGGCGCGCGCTCGGCCGCCCGTTCGCGCTTCACCCTCGCCCCCTCCCGGCAGCCGCCCCCGCCGGCGCACCGGGCGCCACCATCCCCGCCGTAGCCGCTGTCGCCGTCCGTGTCGCTGGTCGACGACGCCCGCGCCGCGTCGCCAGCCACATCCGCCGCCCCCGTGCCGCCAGAAGCGGCGCCACCTCCGAGGGCGCCCCTTCGGATGACGGGAACGCAGTGCGGCCCTCCAGCTCCCCCTCTGCCGCCGCCGCCGCCGTCTTCTTCTTCTTCGGCGGCGGCAGCGGCGACGGTACAGGAGCGAGGGTCGACGGAGAGAGGAGACGCGACGCTGTCAGGAAGGCCCAGCGTGACAGCCCTCTGCAGGTGGCTGAGGAGGCCGGGGCTGCTGGCTTCGCACGCACCCCACCTCTCCTGGCGCGCCAGGTATGCGAGGACCTCGCGCGCACACGCGTGGTAGCCCAGCCGGAAAGCCTGCAGCCCAGTCTGGTCGTCGACTTCCGGCTGCTCTCCTGAACCAAGCAGTACAGCAGACATGATGTGAAGTCTATTGTGCATACGCCCTTAATAGTATCCCCTCATATGAAGGCACTCTGGTTTTCTCCCTCGTGCTACTCCTTGATGTAATTTGGTTAAATATCCCCAATGCAGCATCCACGTGAAAGAAGAATATTGAGACCAAGTGAGGCTGCCTTAGACGAACAAATTACAGTGGTATATTTTGTTCCATTGTTAAGGGTGCCGAAATAATCTAAATTATTATTCCTTTATGTATTGCCCACCCACATTCACATGTGTGGTTGTGCGCAGTCTAAATCCATGTTGCTTCATTCCTTTATCCCAAATTCACTCAATTCTAAGAAGAAATGAAAAAAAACAAATTCTGTTCCACATTTTTAACCAAAAACGGATCCTCTTGTATCAGTTTCAAAACTATATTTCCTTATCTGATAGGAATCAATAATAAAACGGAGACATTTACTCTGAAACTAAAAATTGACGAAGTGCACCCTAGGCAAGTTCAATTCCACATTACAATAAAAAATAAGATGACAACAGAGTACATGGAATTGCAGATCACTTACATGTACCAACGTAATCAAAAATGTATGTTAAGATTCCAGGAATTTGTAAGAATACAAATCGGAATACAAAAATTATATTCTACCTCTATATGTGTGTTTATTTTAAAATGAAACTAAAGTTAAGTTGTACAGTGTCAATGAACATAGCATTACTAGCTTAAGTTGTAAAGTCAAGTTTAGGCATTCTGGTTTTAAGGAATGCAATTTGATTGCCATAGAATTGGCTGTGAAAAAAATGCTCTCGTTTTTTTCCTTTCTATAGTCTACAACTGTGGTGGTGCAATTCTGTTCTGCCACACACCTTTCTGCAGTACATTAAGCCGCTCTTGCTGTTGCTGGGTCAGAGAAGTCAGTGTTTTCACGTGTTTCAATGTCAGTTCCAGCACCACAGCCTTCTCCAGATGACCCAGGGTCTACACTCACACGTAAACATGTATTCACACGCATTATTACATGTGCAAATGTGCAGAATGCTAAACGAGTGCAAGCAGACATGTGAATGAAGGTGACAATGACTTTAAAATTGAGGTTTTTTTGTTTTATTCAGGAAATAATATCTTGACATGGGTTAATGGTTGCACTGATTGGTTGATTAAATGTTGCTTTAATTTAGATTGTGTTTTCTAGACCTGATGGCAAGGTGCATAGGCTGTTGGTTGTTGAATAATAATAGTGAAGATCAATCTATGCAACTGTTTGCACAATATGATCCGGAAAAAAAGGGATCTAATGAAGAAAGCCCAACACAATTTGAGTATCTATTAAAAAATGATTTTTAATACGTACCATCTAGTGTCTTTCACAATTCAGAATTAGTTCTCTCACTTTTAAAATCCTTTTCCTACAGCTGACTGTTGTCGTCTTATCTACTGCACTGTGTACTGTATATTTAATATATCGGGTATTGCCAGGCAGCCAGACAGGAATCCAGAGAGAAAACTTTTATCGTCATATATATTTGATATGACGCGTAGGGTTTGAAAGACGAATGATATATTTTGCCTGTGAGCACAAATATCCTTAAATGCAGTACTAAATACCCAGTCTTCTAAGACTGTTTTGCATTGTGTACCATGGAGTGACGCACAATGAACCTTTTGCAAGTTTGCAAATTTAGTTCCAAACGCTTGCATTAATTAGTTGACACACCTGACTGGAACAAAGGGTCTAATGTTTAATAGAAATGCATTTAAATTCCATGGAAGTCACATCAGACCGCACTATACAGAACCACATTGAGCTATGAGGTAATTGTAAGTGCCATATAGAAATTTGTGGAAGTACCAGTCCCTTTTGACCAGTGAGTTGTTTACGTGGCCAACAGACCAGTGTGTAGGGCTTAGATGTATGACTGAAATGAATCATCGTTTTACTTCGATAAAGTACTCCATTACAAAACTGTCAAATAAGTTTGATTTAAGTGCAGAGAAATAACTTCAGCCCTGGCTACAGTACAATAAGTATATTCCGCGGTGGACTACCAATCTTATGTAAACAAGTTTGAGTGCATGGTTACTCTTGTGTTGTGCATGATAAATGATTGCTGCTTTGTTATGACAAAGCAGTCAATGGATCACGTTAACCTCAAACATTAATCACTGGCTAAGAACTAGGATACATATTGAGGCAGAAATATGTAATGCCTTTACTTGTGCGCTTCCAGATTTGACTCGGTGACACGTTTATAAACACGTACTTGGGTTTCTGGATAATTAAACGTCAGGAAAATGTATCACTTTTAAATGTAATCTGCCTTGGCTTATACGACACGTGCTTATGAAGAAAACGTCTTTAAAACATGTTGTCCTTGTGCACTATGTCTGCCTATCAACATCGCATTGTAACCCATTACGGGTTTGCATTGCAGCACGCTGGAAATAGTTTCAGCACTCCTAGTTGAAGTGTTTGATGGTGTAATCTCATAGTAGAGGTTAAAAAGACAAAGAACTACACCATAACACATGCATTACATGTAATACAAGAGGAACAGTTGAAACTTAAATTAATCCATTAATAACTGATATATGCATATTCTTGGTTCTTTCGGTAAAGTGACGTTGAAGGGAATATACAAAATATATGCATGTTCATTATTTTATCCATTATACCGAGACATTTTTTAAAGACCTTGAGACACTTCGTGCATAATTTCCAACTTTTAATAAGACCGTGACCTGCCCTTTAGGCAATTATAAAATTAGCTGTCTGTGTAAAATGCCTCATGCATAACTAAGTCTTTTACTGTGTGTTTTATGCCTTGCTGATACAAATATTCTACAATCTACAGCAATGCCAAGAAAAATAAGGTAATATTTCAAGACAGCATAATTACTTTCAAAACTGTAATGCAAGCAAATAAAAAAAAATCAGAGGGCAAAAAAGAACACTTTCCATATTTTGAGAGAGAAAAAAATGTGCATGCTTTTAAAATAAGTATTAATTTGTTCTCCTCCTCCACATGAGGTGCAAAAACCTGCACCAGCTGTGCTTTCCCAATGAGGTAGAGTGGGAGGGAGGGAGGGATGGAGGGAGAGAAAGTAGGAGGGAGGTAGTGTGGCACAGTGGTTGTTGGGAAACGTGCCATTGCTAGGAAACGGTGGCACTGGTGGGATTTTGAGTCGACAGCAGAGTGGAGAACAAGGGATGTCAGGGAGCCGCGACTGCACTCAAGACAATTTTCATTATGCGAAAGCCACTTCTCGCCTGCTTTATAATAGATGTGCTTTCAAGCAGGTGGCTGGCATTTACAATAATAATCTGAAATTGATGTCCATTATAGAGATGTCCTTTTTATGCGAGAAACTCCATCGAAGGTGAATTTTATGGTTCATTTCAATACATCATTAACTCACGTGGAGTCAAATACTACATTTATATCTCCAATAATGCTTCTAATTACAAATATTATTATATAAGTGTCTGAGTTGAATTTGTATTGACTTCTGTTCTGCATTTGTGTTTTTGCTATATGTATATACTGCTGCCTATATAAAATTACAACATTTTAATAGACTGTTCTTTTTAATAAAATTCCCAATCATGTTTCAACAGTTTGACTGATAAAAAAATATATATATACTATATAAAACAAACATCATACAATTTCCTTCTCCTTGCATGCACTGCAAATCCAAAAGTAAGTAAGTGTCATGTTTGATTGAACAAAAATAATCGCATGCAAGTTTCCAAAACCATAACTGTAATGAACAAGTATTTTAAGCAATGGAAAGTAAACATACAAACCTCAGCAAAATCCAATCAATACAAGCTCATATTATACTCTGACATATAAATAGTATTACGTGAGACACAGGTTGAAGTAATATTAAACACAGAATTTGTGCAGGACCTACTGATAGTTTGAGATGTTCAGGTAGCAAATCTTTGAGCTGTGCGATGCACTCATTAATGCGATCCCTCCTTTTCTTCTCTATGAGTCTATGTGGTAGCTTGTATGCCTCCTGAAAACAAACAAATCACAAAACATGAATTTGACATGTATAACAATAAAAGTGAACTTTGTAGATACTTCAGCTGTAAATGTTAAGAAAATAAATGCTGCTATTGGGTTTAGTTAAGAATACTCAAAGACATCTTTAAAGACGAGGGAGAGTTCTAAACTTCCTTTTATATTGAAAACAGCTTAGAATGAGTTCTTACTGAATTTTATCTTTCAAGGTTATGTCTATCTTTTTGGGTTGCAGGAATAGGCCATAGACTGTTTAATCACAGTACAAGGGGTGGCCAAATTTATTGACAATACAGGCCACATATCAACAACATCATATAGCCAAGAGCCATGGACGCCAACCACTAAAGAAACTGTTAAAATTCAAAAAAGTATGAAAAATCAAGTGCTCTTGCAGAGCGTGTTTAAATAACACGGTTGGCTACGTATGGCGCGAAAGAAGTTCAACATACAGAGATACAATTAAGGGCACATTTTCTGAGCAGGTCATGCGGGGTGGTCATGCGGCCGATTCTCTCATGGTTTTGAATTTCTGAATATATACGGGAGCAGTGTACTCGTGTTTGGTTCTGCTGCCAGGGGCGAGTGCCCCTGGGCAACTCCTAATTCCATAGGTTGTTCCTGTTTCTACAAAAATAAAGGTACATTAAGAAGTTTAAAATAAGCTGTGGTATCTACCAAGCCACAATTTAATTGCCCGGAAATTGAATGCAGCTCGTGAGCCGTAATTTGGCCACCCACTAATATTGTACGAAGTAGTATTCTCTACTGCGTTATCAAAATGGTGCCATGCATTCCACAAGCACAGTTATGAAGCTGTTTGAATAGAACATGTTAAAACTTGTCTGGAAATATATGCTTGGATATATTTGTTTGACGTACGTTATTTTGTAAAATGTAACTACATGTTTTAGTTTAGCCATGAGGGCTTTTGGAGACAGTGCGTGTAGTTTTGCTATTCCTCCGTTGAAGGAGCGCAGGATAACAGTGGTTTACTAAAAGATCCATAGTTTGGGTTGCATGGCCACAATCGCACTGTGCTTTGTCTCTGATTTCCATTTATTAAAATTTGCACATTGGCCTGTTGATGTTCTGATGTGGTTGTCCAAGCCAGGATATGCGATGTACGAGTCTCAAATGAGGTGTTTATTCTGAACATCCGCATTCATCCTACATAGACAGTAAAATATGTCCAGGGTGTAGCAGTAACCATTTTGAAAATTGCTCAATCAATGTAATTACTTAAAACATTTTAACCCAATGAAAGTACATGGTCATCGCCCTGGACGTCTCAATGAAATGTGTAATAATTAAGTGCCACGATGACTGTAAAAGTATGTGTCTCACTTTGTAAATGACAGTAGCCTAATAGCCCCTCGTGCTTGCCAACTCCCCAGATTTAGTGGACAGCTTACGGGGCTTTAAATTGACGGGCATCTGACCCCCTAGGCAAGGGAAAATTTATTTAGTTTTTTGCTAATGGCACCCTCGATAATCCATGGGTGTTTGTGCCAAAGGAAAACCAAAAGATTACAGAGCACTGTCCCCCCCGTACATGTGTCAAATGGAATAAAGCGCTAAACGAGCACATGTCACACTCGTCGCTGCAATGGAGGGGAACGCTCTCGGTGTACGCAAGTGGTTTGCTTGCAAGTCGACGCCAGTCCACCGTTATACACAACCGGTTTGAGCCTTGTAAAAGAATGTAACGTAAGCAAGTCATTTTGCAATTCGACATTTAATTTAGGAGGAAAGTGTCATTATTCCGAGCCGTTAAGTTCTCGTTACTGAGTTGTTGTTTGTGTACAAATACGGAGTTTCTGGGCCACTTGTTTCACAGGCACTTTTGGTTAAAAAAAATTTTTAAGACGAGGGATGGGAGCACATATTTTACCACTAAAATGTATGTTTCAAGCAGAAATTGTTCAAATAAATTAATTTATTCTCAAATCATTAACTTTTTCTCTATCATACCTTTGCATTAATTCACAAAATGTAGATTTCATTATTCACCAATACATCATAAAAACTCTTGTCCAATATTTACTGTAAAAAAATAGGGGATGGGTGAAATGATATTTTCATCAAAATTATATTCTAGTCAGTTCCAGTATTTGAATATAAAAGTAATTCCTAACGGTCTATCTGAAAATTATTTTCAGTAAATGTAAAAAGATTACTGCTGTGTCAAATGCGTTTTGAAGAATATTAAGAAAAAGCTAATCTCATATATGTTCACGTTTGTAATACATTTGCAGCTATTTGTTTTTACAAGAATGTCTTTCAACAACACAAGTGGTCTGGATGAGCCTCATGATTGTGTGCTAATTTTTCAATGGCCACACACCTGCTGTTTTAAATGAGAAACATCTTTCTCACCTGCATAGTTGCTCTTACATTATAAATGTGTTTTCCTAACTATGGTGGGACGAAAAACCCAGGCGACCATAAATTAGCCTGTTATTGTGCATAACTTCAGTATGCACTGACAAATCTACCAAACGTTAATTTGCAAATAAATGCTTCTTCTGCAATGTCAAATTCCACAGTACTACTTCTGCTTTTGCCTATGACCAAAGCACCCATAATGTCAAACGATCATCAGATCTTGAAAGCTAAGCAGATATCACACTGTTTTTGATGGGCAAAGACCATGCATAACACCGGTAGTTACAGGCCGAGGGGGATACTTTGTGGGCAGCAGAGGGCAGTGCAGAGATAGCAATTGTTGTACTGTATTCCCATGTCTATGCTCCACATCATCATAAACCCGCTTAGACCAGTGTAGTGAAATATAGTCAACCCCCACGACCCGTCCAATGTGGGGAGGATTGATAAACAGGGTAGATTCATGTCCATATACTGTAGTCTTGTTTTTCAGATTTCTAGTGATCCATAATTCTATAATATGAAAAATTTGTTCTGGTTAGAGGTTGATTATTTAATTTCAGGGTATTGGTTTGAGTCACAGTCAAGGTCACCACTCTTTTTTTTAAATGCCACACAAGGTTAATTGCGACCTTTATGTCTGTAGGATATAATAGATCAGTTGCTAAAACATAAAGCGGCACAGCTAATGGGGAAAGAGTTTAAATCTTTGCTAGGGTCGACTGAGGCCATAGTATATCATATCCCTCTGAGACTTAACGTGATTGTTTAATCACGAGATTTGTCTTCCACCATTGGAAACCACCACGAATACCGGCTCAAGACTTCTCAACGTTTACAACGCACAGAGGAGGCCCGCAAAATTATGCCCAAGCATTATCCAGGCTCAATCCAATAATTATCCGGGCTCAAAATCTGCTTAGCTTCCGAGATATCTGAGACCGGGTGAATTGCGGGATATGTTCATCCACAGCGGTAAGCAAATTCAGAATCAGAATATTTATTTAAACTGGAGGAATCCGATGAGCTATAAAGCGGTAAGCAAATTCAGAATCAGATTATTAATTTAAACTGGCGGAATCCGATGAGCTATAAAGCGGTAAGCAAATTCAGAATCAGATTATTAATTTAAACCGGAGGAATCCGATGAGCTATAAAGCTCTTGTTTCACAGATGTCCATTCGGTGGCGGGTAAGAACGTTACAACAAACTCATACAATCCATTCCTTTCCTGTTTGTGTCCATCTCTCTATAAATGCTACCAAACAATCCCCAAAGCATATCTCTTCATATTGGGCACCAAAGCGTGACAGCTGAGAGCCCTATGACTTACGAACACTTATTGTAATGCTTACGTGGGGCAATACAACAACAAAACGTGCTCAAATGTATGAGCATTGCGTTTTATAATTTGCTATTCATTCAATGAGATGTATGCAAATCGCCCTCCACCCAAGGTTTCCCTTGCAGTGGGTTCTCTCACCCAAAGTTAAATGTATTTTTTTTTAAATCAAGGTGTTCCATAATGAAAGGTCATTGCCCCGAAACGTCGCCGAGTCGATACGTGTTGAGTTGTTTATTGAAATTGTGCATCGCTGCCAAACGCAGTCGCATCATCGCCACAGATGCATTAACTTAATGGAAGTTCAGATATGTTCAAATGTATTATTTTAATTGTTGCAAACTAATTTTGTTGTAAATAAGGGAGGTCAAAAGTTTTGTAAATGTCTAATTAAATATTTTTTTTCCAAAACATACAATTACAGCGATGACGTGCCATGTACATACAAAACGACACATTACACATATGAAAGAAGTATTTTATATTTTACAAATGAATTATTAATACACTATTGAAAATAAACATCAGCCAAATACGCAATTTCATTCGCTTGTGTGAAAGGGTACAGTCTGGCAATTGACATCAGTAAAGCGTGCATATTTGTGGTTATATTGCTTGCTTATTTATAATTAGCACAGTACATACTTTAAGGTATTTAACTTAAAAAATAAGTAACGTTAAAAGAGGCTCACTTTGGGGTCGTCTCTCCGAAACGCGCGGCCGCCTTTGAGCACGTACAGCGGCGGGAACTCCACGCTGCATTAAACAGACAAACAACTTACGGTTCAACAACAACAACAACATAAACAACAACAACAACGTCGTTGAGTTATTAACGAAACAACACCGGACCACTCGCTGCTGCAACCCACCTCCTCAAGTCGTGCAGTTCCAGCTCGTCCCCCTTCACGGAATTAAAATTCGGAACGCGGTGATCCATGTTCAACATTTTTTTTTTTTTCGCGCGGTCGAATTGCGAGTTGAATTCTGAGGGAAAGTGATTTGCTCTCCTATAATATAATCTATTTTAGATATAAATCGTACATGAATTGGGGGGGGGGGGGGGCTCCCCCCGCTATTTGTTTTGCGCGGGAAAGCGAAGAGGCGCGAACGCTGCTGCTGCTGCTACTGCTGCTGCTGCTACCTCGGCTCGTCGCACGCCACTCTCGCTCCTCCCGTGTCGTCTCGCGCGCCGCACGGGGAGGTGGGGGGCGGGTAAAGAGGGGGAGGGTAAAGAGGGGTGGGGGGGGGGCGTCCCCCCCCCCCCACCCGTCGTTACCCCCCCCCCCCACCCGTCTTTACTTCCCACCCCTCTTTACCCCCCCCCCACCCATCTTTACACCGTCACGTGACCGTCCGCGCGCGCCATGTGTGCGACCAGACGAGACGCCCGCAACACGTGACCCCCCCCCCCGACTCCCCCCCCCGACTCCCCCCCCCCCCCCGGCTCGCCCCCCTTTCCGCCCACGACCGCAGCCCCCCCCCTCATCACACCCCAACCCCCGCCCGCTACCCCCCCCCGTTGCCCTCAATCAACACAGCTAGCCCCGCCCCCTCACGGTGGGCGAGCCCCGCCCCTCAGCTCACGTGCCCTGAACGTGCGGCGCCTCGCGTGCAGGCGGGTGACAGTTAAATGATTATTTAGCTGCTTTCTCTCGTTTTAAAGAGGCACTGCATAACGTTTCCACATCGCACTACACGTACGTGTACGTAACAATTGCACAATTACATAACATGACCATGAAAACAAAAAAAGGCGGTTCAGTTTTGAGTATTATTGGGGGGGGGGGGGGGGGGGGGGGGGTTTGTTCTTTAAACCATGGCTGCTGAACTCGGTTCCAAAACGTTAAGCGGCCAGCAACAAACAGCACTTTTCAAGTTGTATTCGTCAATTCCAAAGTGATTTTTCCCGCTCACTCGAGCACTGAGGTGGTGCCCCATCTCCCCGTTCCTACGGTGGGGACGAGTACATTTCATAAGCAAACTAAAATGTTGACTTCATCACAAAGTGGTGTTTGATCGACAATCGGAGAAATGATTGCCTCAGTTAACCTCCCCCCCGCGCCCGACCGGGAATTTAACTCAAAACCTTCCACGAGTGGGGATTTTTTTTGTTCTAAATCTATCAATAAGCCACCTGGCCGGTTATAGATAAGCGTTAAAGCTTTCTTGAATTCAGCAAGGTTACTGTAAGAACTTGGGCAAAGGACTCTCAAGTTGAGCAGAGCGAACGAAGGAACAGCAGAAAGAGAAAGTGTTGTGGCCTGGAGTGTGATGAACGGGTGGTGCCGGGTGGGAATGAGTTGTGGCCTGAGTTATGGGAGCGGTGGTGTAGTGGTTAGCGCGCCGCGCTACGAACCCTGGCGACCCGAGTTCGTGCCCTGCTCACGGCCAACACCAGCGACGATTATCTGAAATGGTCCTGGGCCTCCCTTACTCAGCCTCAAATAAGTAACTGGTGCGGTATTCTTAGCTCTTTCGGTAAAGTCACGTTGAAGGGAAACATACATTATTTATGCAAACCGACACACCTGATGACGACCGTTTGTGTTATGGTCGAAACGTCGTGAGAATTTTTTATTGTTTTATATATATTTTATTATTTTATTGTTTCCCTTCAACGTGACTTTACCGAAAGAGCTAAGAATATGAATTACTGCAGTCACGAAAGCTTTAAATCAAAATTTAACTGGTGCGGTGTTTAAAAACATCTCCACTGGGGAGACAAAGGCGTTCCGGCGTAGTGCTGGGAACCCACCCCCTCGTGTACCGTGCCAGGCTTCATAGGCGCTCGCTAACAGCACTTTCCCCAACAGCTTGTTAAGCCCATACGGAAAATCTTTATGTTTTGTGGCTTGCAGTGTGTTGGTGGTGGTTGAACACAGTGCGGATGAGACGACACAGTCTGGTAGACGAAACCCTCCACATGGGTGGAGGAATTAATGAGTAAAGTTCCAAAACTACAAATGGAAAATAATGTGCCAAAACCATCAGCCATGGTTAATCCACTGCTGAATGAAGACCTCCCAAAGTCACCGCATGTGTAATTCTGCGACGTAATAATCCACCGAGCACCTGAAAACGAGCTGATTTCATCACTCCATCTTCTCGGTGGACGTCCTATACACAGTACAGTACTCTATTACATCGTTAATACACAACGTGTGTTCTTCAATACCCCCATAGCAGGTCTTGATGCAGCAGAGCCACAATTACGTATATGAATATGTGGAGAACCGCGGTGATGTCTCAGGCTAATGGACCAATAAGATTCGCGGGGTTTTAAGGAAGAATTTAATAATGCTGATACACTCTGACAGCCAGACGAACGCAAACTAACAAGACAACTGACACTATACATGTTGTAATCCAAGAAGATGCATTAAAACACACATTCAAATAACAGGCGGTCAAAATCGAGTAAGCTGGGAGGTGGATAATAAATACAATATTTCACCCAGAGATGTCCATTGAGTCTCAAGACCCTTTTGTAAGGGTCCTGTGTTGGGTGGTTTGGCCAAAAATATATTGACAAATGTGTGACTTGATGTGGCAGGAAATCAGACTATTATTATTATTATGAGCACTATATATCTATATGATTCACCTTAAATCTCAATGCCATGAGATATCAGAAGCTATACAAGGCTTGTAAGCAGATCGCTACCATATAAGCATAAACGTGGCGATTATCATGGCAACATCAATAGCAGAACTGACCGCAGTTGGGGTGGGAGAGAGGGATTTTTTAAAATAATAATAAAAAGATCCATGTGAATGTCAAAGATAAAAAAATCAAACCACAAAAAAAACTCATTGAAACTGCCCCTTTAAAGGCGCACGTGAGCTCACGATAGCCATGCCTCGTACGGGGCGCGTCTGCATGCGTTGGCCCAATCGTGATTACAAAAGGGAAGCCAAATCTAGATTCGCAGCACGTGGGGAGCCAGTGGAGCAGAAATAAACTGGCCCTAAATAAACATCCCACAGACTCGTCCAGAAAACTCCCCCTTGGAAGGAGACACGAAGCCACCCCACAACGTTGGCGACAGCGTCTGACGTACTCTCGCGTGTGCCTGCGTGTGTGTGCGTGTGTGTGTGCCTGCGTGTGTGTGTGCGTGTGTGTGTACCTGCGTGTGTGTGCGTGTGTGTGTGCCTGCGTGCGTGTGTGTGCCTGCGTGCGTGTGTATGTGCCTGCGTGCGTGTGTGTGTGCCTGCGTGCGCGTGTGTGTGCCTGCGTGCGTGTGTGTGTGTGCCTGCGTGCGCGTGTGTGTGCCTGCGTGCGTGTGTGTGCCTGCGTGCGTGTGTGTGCCTGCGTGCGTGTGTGTGTGTCTGCGTGCGTGTGTGTGTGTGCCTGCGTGCGTGTGTGTGTGCCTGCGTGCGCGTGTGTGTGCCTGCGTGCGTGCGTGCGGTTTGCCCTGCGTGCGTAAAAGCGTGCGGTGGTCACGGCGGTCAGCGCCGCGCTGCGTTTACGAACCCGACGACGCGAGTTCGATTCCCGCTCACGGCCCACGCCGGTGACGATTTACCTGAACCGGTATTGGGTCTCCTCCCCGAGGTCGATTCAGCCTCAAATGAGTACCTGTTGCGGCGTGTAAAACATCGCCGCTGGCAACTCACCCCTTCGTGTACCGTGCCGGCCTTCATCGGTGCCTGCTAAGAGCACTTGCTATACAGGGGTGTTTGTAACATCTGAATACTGAGAGATTCATTATCCTCTCAAGCGATCACTTTTAGGCTAATCAGTGTTAATTGTAAGACATGAAACGGAAGGAAGCAATGGCTAGGGGCCACATTTCCCCACTACTCCAATCGCTCCGCTAACTCTCGATCGAATCACGTATCAACTTGAAGATCGCACTCGCCATTTTAATGACCGTACCCTTGCCTATCTGCCATCTAGGGTTTGCTACCTGCCGAGATTTGACCCGGTACAGTGCAGGAATTGGCATCTGTGTTCAGGTGGCAGGAATAGATTTGTACGGAGTTGTGGTCGCGGTATAGTGTTGGACTACATTACAGTAAAATGGGCAGGCGTGACTGAGACATATGACCGGGTTTGGTCTAAAATGGAAAAGTTGATCACCTTTCTCACACCTCTCTTATCACTCTGATATACTCCCCTCCACACACTCTCCGATCTCTCCCCTCCCATCTCACTCGACTCCCCTTCACGCACTCTCTCCTTACCTCTCTCCTCTCATCTCACTCAACTCCCCCTGCACGCCCTCTCCTCCCCCTCGCTCTCCTCTCATCTCACTATACGGTACTTGCTTCCACTCACCCAAGGACACCGAGTCTTTGTGTCCAAGTTGACAGTCAACTTTCAGTCTGTCTGGGAGGCTTCTCAATCTGCTCTGCTGCCCACATATCTTTGAACAACCCCCCCTCCACCCAAGCCGCCCATGCTATCGACTCACTGGCCCTGTTGAAGCTCAGCCTCAAGAACTGCCTCTGTCTATGACTGACCACCTCTGTCTCTCTCCCTCTCCTGTGTGTGTGTCTGTGTATAGCATTTTGAGATGCGGTCGGATTTAAAAGCTTTAGTTGCATTGGGATCTGACGGACGGCGTTTTTGCGGAGTGGCACATCTGCCAGTGACTCAATTCTCAGCAGCAGCAGCAGGAGGAAGAGATGCTTTCTGTGTGCCTGCTGGCCCCTCGCTAGAGGGTTTTTTTTTTCGCAATGATCCACCGCGTGCTGACAATCGTACAAGGCGAGAGTCGCTTACGTCGTTTCATTTATTTTTGCCACCAATTCGAGTTGTTTCGTGTGCGGTGTAATACTGGTGGCTCAGCGTGAAGGTTGTGAGTTCAAATCGTGGCCATGGCGTGGCCTAGCCCCTCGTCCCTCCCTGGGCTGAGATAAATTAGTACCGCTTTGTGAGAAAGATCAACAGTCACTCATGCAGTCACGAAAGCTTTAATACTTTAAGATCAACAGTGGTTGTCCTATTTAAAGACTCGCCCCTTGCCATAGGAATGTCGAATTTCTCACCGCGGACTCGGGGCTGTACACAGGAGATGAGCACGGTAGCGAGATGTTAACTACCTCGCCTGGTTTGCAGGAGGTCGTGGGTTCGAGCCCGACACTGGCGCATGTATATTTGGAGTTTGCATGTCTCCCCTCTCCCCGTGGTCGCTTGGATTTTGTCCGGGACCTCTGGTTTTTCTCTCCACATTTAGAATCAACAAGCTTTTAGAGTATTTGGCTGCTATACATTTCCACA